TATCGCGCATGCGCCATATAATCGCGAGTACATCGTAATGTGATATGGTGCAGCCCTTTTAATAAAGGCAAATCAACAAACATTCAACACAATAGTCAACATTACATAATCATCTCACACTTAAAAACGACAGAATTAATATAATAATTATAATACGATTCCTGCAGTAATTNGGCGCCCCCTGCTGGCCGCGTGACGGAGGCGCACGCCGAGGCGCCCCCTGCTGGCCGCACGATGGAGGTGCCCGATGAGGCGCCCCCTACTGGCCGCACGACGAAGGAGCATCCCGAGGTGCCCCTTGCTGGCCACGTGAAGGCGGCGCCCGTCCTGCCGGCACCTGAACTGCCTGTCTTGTCCGTCCTGCCGGCACCTGAACTGCCTGTCTTGTCCGTCCTGCCGGCACCTGAACTGCCTGTCTTGTCTGTCCTGCCGGCACCTGAACTGCCTGTCTTGCCTGTCCTGCCGGCACCTGAACTGCCTGTCTTGCCTGTCCTGCCGGCACCCTAACTGCTTGTCTCGCCTGTCCTGCCGGCACCCGAACTGCCTGAGGTGGCTGTGGTTGCGCCCCCTGTTGGCCGTGTGACGGCGGCGCCCGCTGTGGCGCTCTCTGCTGGTCGCGTGCTGGCGGCGCCCACCGAGGCGCCCCCTGCTGACCGGACGCCCGAGGCGCCTGCCCAGGCGGTCCCTGCTGGTCGCACGCCTGCCGCTGCCTCCGCTCTTCCTGAGGTGCCCGCCGAGGCGCCTCCTGCTGGCTACACGCCCGCAGCCCCGTCCGAGGCCGCCTCTCCCGTTCTGCCCGCGGCCCTGCCTGAGGCCGCCTCTCCCGTCATGCCCGCGGCCCTGCCTGAGGCCGCCTCTCCCGTCATGCCCGCGGCCCTGCCTGAGGCCGCATCTCCCGTCCTGCCCGTGGCCCTGTCCGAGGCCGCATCTCCCGTCCTGCCCGTGGCCCTGTCCGAGGCCGCATCTCCCGTCCTGCCCGTGGCCCTATCAGCGCTGTGTGGGACGCTATTCCCAGCGTCTCAAGAGCCCTTAAAGGAACAGCGCTGACGTGCTCGGCATCCCTCCTGCCGGCTCCGGACCTGCCCGCGGCTGCGCTGCCTGCTGCCGCCGCCGATCTGCCCTGTCCGAGGCCGCCTCTCCCGACCTGCCCGAGGTGGCCGCTCTGCCTGCGGCATCGCCTGCAGATCCGGCTGCCGCTCAGCCCAAGGTGCCTGCCGGGGCGCCCCCTGTTGGCCGCGTGCTGGTGGTGCCTGCTGCGGCGCCCCCTGTTGGCCGCGTG